TTGGATATGAGTGGGTAAACACTGTGGACAATGCTTTGATGCATTCATTATCCAACCTGATGTGGTGATGTTAAAAAGTAGTGCCAAAGTTATCACTCACTTACTTCTTGTTTTAAAAATCCTCTTTAAAACACATATTTTTTTAATCCTTGGCTTTCAACTCAGCTTGAGCTATTGGATTTTAATGCTTTATTATATTATTTTATATATTTGTTTATTCTATTGTTTGTTGTTTATTATGATTTAACAATATTTTGTATTTTTATTTTTACTGTTTCAATTGATTTCATTGCTTTTATGTTTGCTTTTATGTGTTATCAGTGCACAGCACTTTGGCTAAAGGTTTTGGCTTTAAAGTGCTTTATGAATCAAGTTGTATTGTACTGTATTGTAAAATATATTATATGATCAAACAGCATGTGAGAGAAACAAGAAGAATGTGTTTAAAAAAACTTTATAAACTGATCACCTACTGTCTCAAACCTAAAAACTGTTGCCTTGCCATTCAAGGCTCAAGGTTATTTATTGTCATTCACATCACATGTGGAACATGAGGTGGAATGAAATTATGTACACAGGGCCCCAGACACATCCAACAATAGCAAAAATATAAAGTACAAAAAGAAACAGTAAACAAGGATCCAAAATATACACGAAGGCCCACGCTTAACGAACACCAAATGGTACGCTAAAGAATCTACGATATACGCTAAACACTAACGGTGCAGAATAATACATCAAACAACAGCAGCACAAACATGAGTCTTTGTGGGTAGACAAGTATGAATTAATGAATGCAGCAGCATAAAATAATCAGCAACATGAGATCAGCAGCATGGACAATCAGCAGCACAAATCACCAATCAAAGTTGCAACACAACAATTATTATTTTTTTGTTTTCACATTGATAATCCTAATCACAGAGTCATGAGTCAGACAGCCCCAGGGCAGAAGCTGTTCCCTAGTCCAGTGGCACCACACCCAATGCTCCACAACCTCCTGTCTGAGAGGAGCGGGGCAAAAAGAGCATGTGTTGGGTGAATGGGGCCCCTCACAATGACAGAAGATGTGTATTCCTCCAGATCCAGCTCTCCCTTATTTTTAGCCTTTTCCTTTCCTCCTTTATGACTGTTGCAACTCTATACATGCACAATTCCTAATGATGGTTGCTCCATCCCCACTATTTCTCTGTGCATCAATGTTGTGATACAAAATTAAATTTTACACATGTGTTATTATTATTATTATTATTATTATTATTATTATTATTATTATTATTATTATTATTATTATTATTATTATTATTATACCTGTATTTATACAGTTTAGTTTCCATTGAGCCTCAAAGACTCATTTACAAGAAAGACCTGTTACATACAACATACAGGTAGATGAGAATAAGAGAACACGAGAATGGAGGAAGCCAAAAAAATAAATAAAAAAATGTCTGACAATATTTACTGGCCAGTAAACAGTATAAAAGATGAAAAACAAACAAACAAACAAAAACACATCGCAAAATAAAGAGCAACATACAGTGACATCATAATACATTTATGCATAGAGGTCAACAAAGACGATGAGTTATCCATAAACACTCAGGGAAGTTCCAAAGTTCTGATACAATGGTACAGTGTCTATCAGCATCATGGTGCTGGTAAGACCACAGATGTCCTTTTTTTTTTTTGGGGGGGGGGGGGGGGGGCAGTTTGGCAGGAAAAGCCTCTTGTTTAAGTATCCTCCAGGAAAATTTTTAAATAACTTGCCCTGTCCATGTCCAGCGGGGAGGCCAAATTCAGACAAACAATTGTTTGGGTCGCCGACTCTGTTTTCCGTCTGCCTTCAAGTTCTGCTGGTACACTCAATGACAAATCCAAACAGCCAGATTAGTGGACATTCCACCTGGTCTGTGCTCAATTTAGCATTTACCAAGATTGAATCCTTCATGCTGGTGAGTTCCAGGAACCCCAAGTGGCCCAGGATTCTCAGAAATTGTCTCTAGTTTGCAGCTGAGTTCAGTAAGCAAATGCGTTTCAGAGCTCAAGGCATTAATTAATCCTTGACATGAGGCTGGCAACTTTACCGTGGCCAAAACTTCTGCCCACGTCTTCCTAATTTGTTGATATCCAAGGTATCTGCCGATTCCAAAAAGCAGAAACCCTGTTATCATAAATCCAATAATGTACACATCTTCTACATTGTCCACAGACAGCACAGATAGGCACATCATCTTCCACTCACTCCAGGGATCAATGACATACCCAGCTGCGTGGATCCGTTCAGGGCATGAGGGCTCTCCAGTACCCTGTTTTCTGGTGGAAAAAATATACATCAATTGCATTGAGGGACCAGCTGACCAAATCCATAATATCTTTTGATTCATTAGATGTGTAAAGAGAGTCTCTGAGGTTGACAGGACAAGAGAGCAAAAAAAGCAGGAGGGAGGGGGGCCATCTTCTTCAAATGCGAAAGAGAGAATTTATCAGAAGTACCAGAGAGCAGGCTTCATTCAGCATAGTTAAACCTCATCAAGGTAAACAGGAGCATAAGGCAATGGAAAATATCTCTTCTTAACACACAACAATCTTTATTTGCAATGAGACCATGAAGGTCATTAGCCTCTTAACCATCTTAACGTTTACATTACTATAAACAAAAGTTTGATCTACAGCCTGAATGTTTAGTACAGAAGACATGTGAAGGATTAAGATGACAATAAGAAATCTCAATGCTCTACTGCATCTCCCTAATGATTTCATTTATAGTCATGTTGACATTGTAACCTCTCTGAAAACAAGCTCATTCATCTGCTGTCCCAAGTGATGTAGATTAGTCACACAAATGGCCAGCACCATGAAACATACTGGGATGTGTATTACTCCATGTCATCGTAAAAACATGTACATCTGTTTATCCAGCTGTGGTCACGTGTGTTTGCGTCTGCGCATTGCCTTGCATCCGTGCACGTTTTATGCATGTAATCTCACGGAGCAGAACCAGCACTGATGGCGTGGGGGACACGCACATGCCCTAGATAGTTTGAATTTAATCTAGGCCATCCTTATTTTCCCTCGACACGTGATGAGCACTGCAGGTAGCAAGCTGTAGCACACACACACACACACACACACACACACACAAACACATTTCATTTCACACAAACAGAAAACATTGCTGGGAGAGTAGGAGAACCTGTTAGTCTATTTAGAGATGGAAAATGTGATATACAGGTACCTATACCTGATAATCTATATATATATATATATATATATATATATATATATATATATACATATTTGGGTGGGCATCCATGAGAAAAAAGATGAATAAAGAGAGTGAGTGTGTGAGAAGGAATTAAATGAAAAGAAAAAAAAAAGAAGATGTGAGTCGGGTAAGGTAATTCAAGGACATGTTTCCTGCTGCTGTGGTTTGCAGCTACAGAGCATGCTGCAGACTAGCAAGAGCTTTCCTTTTGGGCAGAATTATGTAAGACTTCAGTGTGACAGACAGACAAACACACACCAGAAGCTCAAACAGACACATATATACAAACACAAATGCACATAAAACACATTAGTATGCAAGCACACACACACACACAGGCAGGCACACACGTAATCTAACATTCAGAGCACGTAATTTTAAATTCACACTGAGCTGTACTTAAATTCTGCTGCAGCGACCCACAACTGTTATAAGCTCTTGTTCACCTCTTTGGTGCAAAGACAGAAAGGGATGGAATTGTCATGCAGTAAGCTTTTCCCCAATATTAAATTGACTAAATTATATATATTGTTAATGCTCTTTTAAACATTCCTGGTTTGAAAGGTTCAGCAACGAAAACTTGGTTTAAGGAAAACGTTTTAGGAAAAGAAGTTTGTCGTTGCTTCAAAAAGTCCATGAGTCCAACTGATATTGTTTAATTCACAAATGTCAAAAGATTAAAGGGCTTTAAATGAGTTTAAAGCCAAGCTGGCTGTCCTCCTTGGCTTCCTGTGCTGTGCTTTGCTAGGCTAATCCTACCCTGGTTATGACATTTATGGCTAGAAAAAAAATGTGAAATGATATTTTGTTGTTGTTATTTAATAAGATTTTGCTATTTTTAAATAGAACAACAACAAACGAAACCTCAACTGAGAAAACAATATAAACAACAACAACAAAAATCACAGTCATGCAAAACATATGCCTCAAACTAATATCTCTGTCTAATAAATCAGTGTTTTACACGCGGTCACGTCTTGTATGAGAAATAAAATGTTCTATCTACACTGAGTAAAAATGACAAATTCTAGCTGTTGTTCTTAATCCCAATATTCAGATGGGTTTTTTTCTGCTTTTTCCTTGTGTGTTGTGTTGGTCAATCTAATCAATGTTTTGTTGACTTATTCAAAAAAATCCATATAAACAATATTTTACAACTGATCTTAATCAGAGACCATCTTCATGTGAGACGACACTGTTGACCACCACACATGCAATAATTCTTGGATTTTGATTGAAAATATCCAGTAATTTGATGGTAACACTCTGCAAGGTAATATTATTCATGACTCAATAGTGTTATAAAAAAACTTATATTATTGCTAGACAAGGAAAACAGCATTAGACAAGACTACAAAGCCTTGTAAAACCACAGTAAAAGAACATTATTAAAAAAAAAAAATCATAAAGTTGCTAATAATTATTATGATAACTAATTAATTAAATAATCATAGACCAACTAAAATTAGTTTATTGTGTTAATGAAAACTGCTTGACAAACTCACACCGTTAAAGAACTGGTTTTATAAGTTATTTCTTCCCCTCTTTTTATGATGTCTGTAAGCCTCCCAGATGGTTTGTTACTGTGGTATAAGCTGCCTTAAAGGTTTTGAGCAATGCACCCTCTATACAAATCTTTCACAATGATTTCCCAGAAATAAATTTGAAACCTTCCGGTGATGGGCTCATTTCTGTAGCCACAGATGTTTGAAAGAGAAGAGAGCAGACGACTCACCAAAGACAGTTCTGGCAGGGACGGACTCTCTGTTGAGCCAGAAAGACACTTGGGAGAGGATGACTGTCATGATGCAGGGCAGATACGTCTGGATCACAAAGTAACCAATTTTCCTCTTCAAGTGGAAGTGGGTTGTCATTACAACATACTCGCCTGTTGTTTGCAGGACAAAAGATAAAGAGAAGTTCTAAAAATGAACTAAAAGCTTAGTTTGTTTGTACTGCATTAAGAAACACAGCCCCCCCCCCCCCCCCCCCCAAATGCAAGACATTGTTTAATGTTTTAAAATGTATATATATATTTAACTGTAATTGGTAAATTGATTTATTTTCTATGGAAGAAGATTAGGGCCACAATGTAATTCCCCCCCCCCCCCCCCCCCCAATTCTGAGGAAAAAAAGTCAGAATTAGTTCTGACTTAAATATCCAAATTCTGACTTTTTTTTTTCAGAATTAAGAAAAAAATGCACCGTAGCCCTACTCCTCTTCCATATTTTCCTCATATTTTATACAGAAAAATGTAATAAATTACTCAGGCTTGGTTGCCGGCATGGCTGCAAGTTGCCATATTGACTAAAGTCAATTAAATACTTATAAAAAAAAAATTAAAATCTGTGGAAAACTTGGGCTCCAAGAAGACCCACTTAAAATGGCAAAACTTTTTTTTTTTCAAAACCCTCAAAATGACTTTTTAACAGTCGCAAACTCAGACTGAACTTTTTTTAATTTTTTTATTAAAAAGCCAGGTAAACGTGAAACAAATTTGATTAAGGTGACAAAGTAAACAATTTTATTTATCAAAATGACAGTAAGTGTGGCAAAACAGACATTAGCTCATAACTAAACGTCCCCACCATTGACCTGTTAAACTAGTTAAATATATAGTAGTGATTCTGTTATAGCAATTCAGTGTGCTGTTATTATATTTAAATAAACAATGTGTTACATTTGATTGATTTCCCACAAAAAACAAATGTCAGGATGCTGTAGTGTCGGCGGTCATTTACAAGGACAGTGATCCTCAATGGTATCGAGGGCAGCCACAAAACTTTTCAATATCTAATTTTGATTTATTTATTTTAAATGGTGAAACTGACCTGTGCTGGACTGCACCACACCAGAATCCACACTCTGTCCCATCAGATCATACTGGTTTAACCTGGAGCCGTCCTCAGCCACCACCACAGAGTGAGCAGCCCCGCTGGTCCACACGTACACCACCTCTGCTCTAGTATAGGCATCTGGTGAGAAAACAGCATAAAAACATTCTGAAATGTTTGACTTCTGCCTGTATTTTCTTCCAAAGTTGTTAAGCATTCCAAGAGAAAGAAGTGACCCACATTTGTCCTGTCATGCTCTGTTTTGTCTCATTTTGTCTAATCTGCTCTCATCTCCTGTCTTGTTGCATTAGCTATTTAGGCCACAACACCAATGTGCTTTTTCCAAATACATGCATAAGTATTTTTATTTTCTTCTTTTGGCTGCTCCCATCTTCAGGGGTCGCTACAGCAAATTAACTCGCACAAAGACTTGGCAATGGTTTTTACACTGGATGCACTTCCTGACACAACCACAGACCACCGAGCTACCACAGCCCTCTGTGTGGAGCAGAGAGCTGCTATCTAGGGCACCCAGGGGAGCAGATGGTTGGGGTTTAGGGACCTTGCTCAAGGGCCCAGAGTGAGGCAAATGAGGGTGGTGGCAGGTGTGGCAGATATCAATGTGTGAGAGGCGGGGTACAACCGTTACCACTCACATTTGGATGTTGTCTGTCTGGGGAGTTGAACTGACGACCTTCCGATTACAGGCCCACCTTCTCTAACCTCTGTGCCACCATTGCTACCACTCCCCTACATATATACATA